TTTCAAATCTTCGCGCCTAACACATTGCCGGATATTCCTCCTTTTTTATTGGTTCAGGAATATACGAAACTCCAATATGTAGTTCACCAGTTTGACGTTTGCGGCGCTTAGGTAGATATTTGCGGTATATAATTATATATACGTATTGAAAGTAATTCCGTATCATCATGAGCCAGTGAATATGGCAACATTGCGTATTTAAAAACATTTATGTGATTTATAACGGTGCTTTTTGTTTTGTAACTATCATTCGTCTTACTATATGCGAAAAGCTTTTTTATTACTAATTTTAGGAAAAAAGTTTTTTCTTATAAAAAGTCGAGCATGGTCCAAAACCTAAAATGCAACCATCAAATATCAAATTTTATCAGTCGTATACGAGATTTGTCAAAAATGAAGGTGCTTCATTTTACAGCTAAATTCATATTATTTGATATATCTCGTATAGTATTGTAAAAATTTGATATCTGACAGTTGCATTTTAGTTTTCAGACCATGTAGAACTTTTTATGAAGAAAAAACTTTTTTTCGTAAAGCTAATAATAAAAAAGTTTCCCATATCCTGCGAACTTAAGTGGACACACTATAGGTATATGCTTGAACTTTTGTAAATACCCGACTATTAATTTCGACGTATTTGTATGTGTTTGGGGATTTACCGCCGCTGACTTGACATCAAAAATCAGAAAGTTGCGTATCTTACCGATTTCAAAAATAATATTTTTTTATTTCCATATATTGTCCATATCTTAAAGTGGTCCAAAGTAGATTAAGAAAAAATGAGAGAACTAGAAGTCCTATTGGTTAATTTAGGTTGAATTCCTTGTTAAAAACAATCTAGTTTAATAGATTTTTATATTTGGACAACTAATCATACAGGGTGTTCAAAAATAAGGTTTAAAATGACATTGAGAAAACTGTCAAAAGTCTTTTTTTATGGAAATCCGCCTTTTTGTTATTTTGTAGTATTTAATATTAAAAATAACTTTATATAAGATTGTCTACAAGATAGTCCGAAGTGTCCACTGTTATAATTTGGCGTCAAATATTTCAATCAAAAATACTAACTGATGTAGATATATCTATTTTCACACCATATATGTTCTTTAATATTGAACTAAGGTAAATTGTGTTATATCACAATACTTTTATAGAGTTGCTATGTATCCCATTATTAACGGACAACCCTGTAGACAACTTTATACAAGGTTACCTTTATTTCAGATGCTAAATACTACAAAATAAGAAAAATGAGTGATTCCATTTGAAAAATCGATTTTTGGTAGTTTTCTTAATCTCATTTTAAACCTTAAACCCAAGGAATCCAACCCGAAGTAAGTAATAAAGGCTTCCTTATAGGACTTATTGATAATTATATTAGAACTTGCCAACGTCATTTTTGATATAAAAACTGAAATTGTAAAATCGCTTTGACTTAGGCATATGATATGATACATAAAACCTGCCTGGAATCTGAAGTAGAATTCAAAATTGTAATAATAATAGGATGCTCTATTTAAAATAGGCGACTTAAGGTCTATTTCCGGTCAACCGGAATTGCTTAATAGGCCCCAAGACATCTAACAAGTTTCCAGATATCAATTTATTCCTACATCCAATTTCTGAGATATCGATCGATGCAGTTCTTAGTGATCCACCTTGTATATTCTAGACAAGAGTACAAAATAAATTTTTTTTTATAGGTTATACTTTTCTAAATATATCATCTTTAGTTCATGAGATTTAACCATTGTAAGTTTTTAAATTATCAGCCATATGTGGTACGATTCCAAAAAATTTTGAATATCAGAATGAACCGCAAACAAACATCTTGAGATTATTTTATACCGAGTGTTCACTTTTTGCATATTTAGTCGATATTTTAAGATTAAAAATGGACTTTCATAAAAGCTGTAGTGCAGAACAGGTAGACTGGCAAATTACAGAAGCCAACTTCCTAAAGAAAAAAGAAATTTAATAAAGATAGATACTAGCGAGTTTCAATATATTTTTTATACATATATTATTATAAGTATATTTTTACTAGTATAATAGTAAGTAAGTAGTGTTTTACTGAGCTACCTGTTTTTCCGTTGTTTTTATTTTTTTTATTTTTTAACTAATAAAACAATATTAGTATTAGCTATTGAATTTATTGCTTATTATCTTTTAATTTTTGGATAAATCACAACCAACGACTAAACAATTTCCATGACTCCATTCACCTCAAGAGGTGAACATTTTTTTGAGAACAGTTTCTGGAAATTATGCGTCTAAATTTTACGAAACAAAATCCTCCTTAAAATTACGGGAGGATTTTGTAGAGTGAAATTTGCATAATTTGTAAGGAAACAACAAAATGATTTAAAAAAAATTCTTACCTCGCGTGGTGTTTGAAAAGATTATTTAACAATATAAGCAGAACTTTCATAAACATTTGCTTTGGTTTCATAAGCTGAAGTCGATTCTGTATTTAAAATATATTTAAAGAATCAAAACGATTTTTGTGTATTTTTCGTCAACTTTTTGACAAACTTGGCTTTTCATATAAATCACTGATACATTACTCTGGCAATGAATTAAATTTTTTAAATCCAACTTTTTTGTCAAACGTCACATTGACTTTTCGCACAAATCATTAAAGCGTTACTCTGGTAATGAATTTAATTTTTTAATTACAATCAGGATTGAGTAAAAACACTGCAGCATGCAGATACAGTTTGTGTTGATTGGCGTCTGTTGGAATTAAAGATGATTGTCATTGGTTAATGCATTATAGCGTTAAATAATCTTATTAATACCTACTTACAATTAAAAATATTTAAGGAATTTATTAAGCAAGTTTTTACTAAACTAGCAATGGTGCTTATTCCTAACAGAAAATGAGACAATTTTAATAAAACGTTAAATTATTTTCAAAATAAAATACTGAAAATTTTTCTTTTGACTAATGAGAAATACGAATTTGTTGCTACGTAGGTATATATAACACCATTATTAAAACTTTAATATATGTATTTTTTTTTATAATTTTTATTAAGTTAAAAAATTTAAGTAAGTATATTATCTACGTCGACAAGAAATGATTATTGTTGAGGGCTATTCAAGTCAAGATAGGTTACAGAGGAGATAAAAACCTTATTTTTGACATATTTACAATACACCTGATTTACAACGTTCTTGTATAAAAATATTACCCCCACCATCCCCTAGAGGGAGATTAAGGGGGTAGCATCCCCAGTAAATTAAGTTATGTCTTTTTAAATAAAAGAGTTGGAATCTACGACTTTTTCTATATACATAGACCCTCCCAAATTTATATTTTTTTTAGAGAAAAAACTTGTTTTTCTGTGACGAGAAAAAAGTTTGACATTATATCTCTCTTGTCAGGTAACAAAATGTCACTTTTTATGAAATTATTTTTTTCCATGTTTCCTGGGAGAAAAGTGTTTCCCCGGGAAGTAAAGGTAGATATTTTTTTCTACATTAAATCCTTGTTTTCCCATCACAGAAAAGAAATGGTGTATTATGCACGGGAAAAATATTAGATTTTAGCTAATATTTTTTTCCCTTGTATAATAAATAAATATTTCTTGTCTTTGGACTTTTTTGACCTGAACTGATATAGTTTGAATGTGGGGATACGCATTTAAAAATCGTCATAGAGGAGATAAAACTATTATTTTTGGTTACATTTGTAATAGACATAATTTTCAACTATTTTTTATAAAAATTTACCCCTACCATTTTGACCAAATCTGGTTTATTGAAAAATGTTAAAACCAAATTTTTATCTTACCTGTTAATTTTTTTTAATTGCAAAGATAAGTAAAAATCGTAGATTTTAAGTGTTTTATTTAAAAAGTTTTTTTATCGGATTTCCTATTTATGAGAAAATACATCCATATATCTAGTTTACTCTCAATATCTCGACTCGAACTGCCCTAGCCACAAGAGTGATTTTAATGTATTTACATAGTCCGACTGAAATGATTTTAAATTTGAATTCAGAGTATAGAGTTAAATAAACAGTTGTATTTTATAATTATTCTCGTATTACTAAATCGTAGATTTCATACTTAATTTACATTTGGCAACTGAGCGAAGGTTCAGAATTGTGCGATTAGTGTGAACAAAATTGTATAAAATGGTTCAAGATTGTATCAATCTTCTAATGGTTCAGGATTGCACAGATCCAGTAAAATCTTTAGAAAAATTACATTTTTTTAATGAAATATTCAGAGTATACATTTCACATTAGAGATAAAGAGACCCTCTTTTTCCAATATACATTAAATATACTTATCCAACTTTATTATTTTTGGGTGGTTCAGGTTTGATAGAATCTCCAATTGGCTTGGGATTGATAGAAAGATGTAAATATATATATATATATATATATATATATATATATATATATATATATATATATATATATATATGTGACAATCGTCCTACTATTTGTCCATACAAGAAACAACTGTCCTGAAAGGAATAAATACTAAATCAGTACCTCCTGATGTCTTTAAATATTTCTCTTGCCAATAAATACAAAATATTAAGTTTTAATTTTCTAATTCCTTTCGTTCATGATATAGCCATTGTAAGTTTTTAAATTGTCAACTCCTATGTGTCCGTTTTATTTATTTTTGTGCCTATTTCAGTAAATGTTATAATTAAATAGAGATCAACAATACTAACATTGTAAAATTTTGTAGGGGAACCTTTATGACTTCTTTTAACGAAAATTTTAATGTGAACTTTAAATAAAAGTTTGTTTTTGTAAAATCCGTCTTATGGTTTAATTATAAAATGGGCCTAAAAAGGTAGCTACCTAAGCGCCCCAGTCTGAACATCACACTTTCATGAATTTGTTGGACACATATCATAGTACAATTCAATAATAAATTCAGCCATAAGAAAATAAGTCACAATTCTGCATGTTGGCTCTTTGATATGATATTATTCTTACTTAAAAATATTTAAAAAATTATGTTTACCTGTTAAAGCAGTGAGATGAATTTCTTTGCCATTATACAATGCAACTGCATATTTATTGGCATCCCTAACAGTCTTATTAGAATGCAACAAAACTTTATCTACAATCTCATTTTCAAAATATTTCGTATTATTTTTTTCAGGTTCCTTATCAACTTCTTGTGCTATGATTTCAGCCCTTCTTGTATCAAAATTTGGCGAGTCTACATCAATGCCTAGTTCTAATTTCACCTGCTCATTTTCAGGTTTATAGAAACATTTTTTTATACGATGTTCGTTGGTGCAGGTTTTATGTTTTAGAGGGTATTGGAATAAAAATAAATTATTTTCTAATCTTTTTGAGTGAATTATAGGTATCTAAAAGAACATTAAAATAATTAAACTAAATATTTTGAATAAAATTTCCATAATATTCAAACCACAAATTTATAAGGGTAATTCAATTTATTTTATTCATTATCAATAAATATTTATATAAAATTACCTCTTTTATTATTATGTCCTCAATATCTTCAGTTTCTGTTACATTCGATTCATCCATATTTATCTTATATATTTGCGTTTATTTTAGAAAAAAATATTTTAAACTAACCTACCTTATATTAAAATGACATTCACAGAATGACATTGTATTTTTGACGTTTGCACAATAGGCGAGTTCGGTCAGTCAGGGGCTGGAGCGGGACAAATTTTAGGGTGCTTTTAAATGACATTTAAGCGTGTTAAACTGTCACTAATCGGACTAAACCGAACGCTAAAAGAGTCGTTTGGAGTTAAAAGTGTTAAAGGAGTTAAAGGAACGTGGCAAACCGAACGCAATGAATGAAGTGGAGAGGAGTAGAATGATAACTGTCAATGAAAAAGTCTGGACACTATGCACCATGGAGGAAGGATGACATTTTGTAAATAAAATTAGGGGCCCAATTCTCGAAACATGCGTTAACTGCCGCATGCGCTAAGTAACGCATGGTCGTTAACGCATACGACAGCAATTTAGTATTCCTGAACACCATGCGATAATCGCGAATCAAGTCGAACGTGTTAACGAAGAGTCTTTGATTATTGCATAGTCTTAACCAATGAGGATTGAGAATACCTAAGATGGTATCTCTGAATATGAGATAATTGCATTGACATATGTCAAAATTGCCAAAAATGCAAAAATTATAAAATTAAATGGATTGCAGATGTCTAATAATTTTTGGTTTTTGGATGTTTTAACTATGATTATTTGTATTTTGGACTTGAGAATTGGAGTGGTTTAGATTTAGAATATTAAAAATGGAACAGCGTGGTTCACGAATAACGGAAAAACAGCGTGAAACTTTAGTAGAATTTATAACATTGTTTAGTGCCTGTAAAACTCCTATGATAAAGCAGGATTAATTGACAATTATAACAGAGACAACCACATACAAAAGAAAATCAAAGTATGTGGAGACAACCCTCTGATTATATAACCTTACTTTCACCTTAACGAATGCGACAAAGTGGTTGTCGAACGGTCATGAGCGCTCTTTGAAAATCACCATTTTTTAGCGCATGCGTTAATAAATTTGACGAATGCCGCCAGTTCAGGAATACACTTTCATCAAGTCGCATACGTTATCGCATGCGATAAGTTAACGAAGGCGTCAGGAATTGGGCCCCTGGGGCCAAATTCTCGAAACATGCGTTAACTGCCGCATGCGCTAAGTAACGCATGGTCGTTAACGCATACGACAGCAATTTAGTATTCCTGAACACCATGCGATAATCGCGAATCAAGTCGAACGTGTTAACGAAGAGTCTTTGATTATTGCATAGTCTTAACCAATGAGGATTGAGAATACCAAAGATGGTATCACTGAATATGAGATAATTGCATTGACATATGTCAAAATTGCCAAAAATGCAAAAATTATAAAATTAAATGGATTGCAGATGTCTAATAATTTTTGGTTTTTGGATGTTTTAACTATGATTATTTGTATTTTGGACTTGAGAATTGGAGTGGTTTAGATTTAGAATATTAAAAATGGAACAGCGTGGTTCACGAATAACGGAAAAACAGCGTGAAACTTTAGTAGAATTTATAACATTGTTTAGTGCCTGTAAAACTCCTATGATAAAGCAGGATTAATTGACAATTATAACAGAGACAACCACATACAAAAGAAAATCAAAGTATGTGGAGACAACCCTCTGATTATATAACCTTACTTTCACCTTAACGAATGCGACAAAGTGGTTGTCGAACGGTCATGAGCGCTCTTTGAAAATCACCATTTTTTAGCGCATGCGTTAATAAATTTGACGAATGCCGCCAGTTCAGGAATACACTTTCATCAAGTCGCATACGTTATCGCATGCGATAAGTTAACGAAGGCGTCAGGAATTGGGCCCCTGGGGCCAAATTCTCGAAACATGCGTTAACTGCCGCATGCGCTAAGTAACGCATGGTCGTTAACGCATACGACAGCAATTTAGTATTCCTGAACACCATGCGATAATCGCGAATCAAGTCGAACGTGTTAACGAAGAGTCTTTGATTATTGCATAGTCTTAACCAATGAGGATTGAGAATACCAAAGATGGTATCACTGAATATGAGATAATTGCATTGACATATGTCAAAATTGCCAAAAATGCAAAAATTATAAAATTAAATGGATTGCAGATGTCTAATAATTTTTGGTTTTTGGATGTTTTAACTGTGATTATTTGTATTTTGGACTTGAGAATTGGAGTGGTTTAGATTTAGAATATTAAAAATGGAACAGCGGGGTTCACGAATAACGGAAAAACAGCGTGAAACTTTAGTAGAATTTATAACATTGTTTAGTGCCTGTAAAACTCCTATTTCTTCTACATCATCCATACTAAATAAAATATACCAAAATAAACTGGCACTTAAGCGTCCAATAAAAGAGTTCACGGTACAAAAAGTTTAATTTTTATATTCTATAGTAACTAATAAAATGTTCAAAAAAGTCAAATTAAAAATAAATATTTCCCAATAAATCACAAAACATAACCAAAACCAATACATAGAAACATGAATCAGAATCACATATGATAAAGCAGGATTAATCAGGGCTGGTATATCTAAGGGGGTCGCGACATAGAACCAGTAAATGGATGAGGGGGTGACTGAGGCTAGGGGGGAAATAGTAGTCAGCTTAAGTTGGCAACACTTTTCTGACGTTCGTTTGAACGAGCATCGAGCATGATAATGTCAATATGGTACAAGTGGAATGAACCACTGTTTTCCTCGTCGTAGTCCAATGTCGAATTAAAACTAAAAATATTTTGTACTTTTTTATATACCAAATTATGCAATTTGTTTCCATTTTATTTTAATGTTACATGAATAGGTACATGTGTTTGTGCTGCGGTAAATAAGTGTTCATGTGAAAATTATCTCTTAAACTACATTGTGATTGCACTCATCTCAAAACTGAATGCTGTAAATCCAGGATTTAAATCTTTCATAGTGTTGCTTGGGATAAATTGTAAAAAAGGTGTTGGACAAAACGTTTACAACCTAAAATTGCATGAAAAACATGATAGAAGAAGGAATTTTACCTTTATGACATTCTCTTTCAACATTTTTAAGTGACTTTGTGGTTTGGTGAATGGACTGTTACCACAGTCAAAAGATTCAAAGTAAAAAAAAAGTGACCAAGTTCTAATAAGAATACATAAGTTGAATATGAAAATGTAATTACTTGATTTAAATGTGATTTAATTAAGAGTTAAATAGAGGTTTCATATAAACAAAGTGCTGTAAAATGTTAGTAAATGCAAAACCATTATTAAAGAGGAATTAGTTATCATCAATAAGATATTTTGTAGTAGCTGGTCTCTATAAATAATAAACTTGAAAGACTGAATTAGTAGTCACTTTTACACTAGAAGTAAAAACAAAAAAAAATGTGTGGTTGAGACTAATTTATGTATTTAATAAAAACATATTTAACATAAAAGCAGGTGTTATTTGAAATGTTTTATTTTAGTTTAATAATCTTTATAAATTGTGGGTACATTTGATCCGAATCTTGCAAATACTATAAAATGCATATGCTTCTATATGGTTAGTATTGGAGTAGAAGCACAAAAGTTTTGAATAAAAATATAGATACCGGAATACTTTGCTTGATTACTAAACTTTGGATGTTTTTGTTGTAGTCTGCTGTTAACACTATTGTCCTGAAATATTAAAAAAGCTAGACAAAGGTTTGTCCAACTCTTTTGTCAGCTTTGTTAATCTATGCTACTGTTATTCTGCATGCAGACATTTTTTACTGGAGATTTTCTCTAAGAACTGTATTCAGTTTCAAATTTCGGCCAGTTTTAGGAAAGTACCTATGTTATAAAGGTATTTCAAATCCATCCTTTGTAAGATGTAGACAACAAATACATGCTAAAATGTATAGAAAACAAATGGCAAGATATTACACAAAATTATTTAAATTAACTAAAAACATACAAATGAAGTGAATAATACCTACCAACAATTTAAAAAGACCTAAAATAAATAGACTTAAGGGACTGGAGCTCTAAAAAAGGGAGCAATAATTTGTTATGCATTATCTATAAGAAAATTGTCTTCATCTCTTCAATTACCTTTTAAAATAAACAAAACTAAAACAGCACAAAATTAAAAGTGATCTACTTTTCCCGACGTATTTTATGTACATTTGAGATTAATAATTTATTAAATTGAAATATTTTATCCTAAAAAATATGGGCATTTTATAATGGAAATGTCATTTAAGAAATGACATTGATTTTTTTTCTTATATTGGTAAACCTGGCGACTACAAGTTGCCACGTTGCCAGATCAATGGCGACTACTATTTCGAAAAAAATGGCGTCCAAAATGGACTCCTATGTCGCGACCCCCTTAGATATACCAGCCCTGGGATTAATTGACAATTATAACCTTACTTTCACCTAAACGAATGCGATAAAGTGGTTGTCGAACGGTCATGAGCGCTCTTTGAAAATCATCATTTCTTAGCGCACGCGTTAATAAATTTGACGAATGCCGCCAGCTCAGGAATACACTTTCATCAAGTCGCATACGTTATCGCATGCGATAAGTTAACGAAGGCGTCAGGAATTGGGCCCCTGGGGCCAAATTCTCGAAACATGCGTTAACTGCCGCATGCGCTAAGTAACGCATGGTCGTTAACGCATACGACAGCAATTTAGTATTCCTGAACACCATGCGATAATCGCGAATCAAGTCGAACGTGTTAACGAAGAGTCTTTGATTATTGCATAGTCTTAACCAATGAGGATTGAGAATACCAAAGATGGTATCACTGACGCCTGTATGCACCGTTTTAACATTTGATCTCGATTTATAAATCTGGATTAGCTGTTGAGAAGTATTTTGGTATGCACGGTAGGTGGATTTAGTAATCCTTAGTACACATTTGGCAACAATGTTATATTTAAAAAAGAAGTAGAAAATAACCACCTACTCCTTCTAAAATACGGTCGATATTGTTAACGATAACGCATTTAAAATACAAACCATCCTGATTCATATTATAAATTTGTTAATTTTATTATTTTTATCATTGTGATTATGGATACTGATAGTTCAAAAAGAGTTCCTAA